CTGATGTCGGTCTCGGAGAGAAGCGACGCCGCCATATCTCCTGCCCGCTGCCGCCCCCCCGCCCCCTGCTTTGGCTCTCAGCTATAACGCATTAATTATAGATGTGTGTCGGTCGGTGCTCGGTTCTGTGTGTGGCTGCGGTGTCTGGATGGAGCAGCGAGGCTCAACCGACTGATGATAACGGGGATGTACCGGAGCAGCCTCGCACCACCCGGAAATGCACGGAGCTGCGCGGACACACGGAGCCGTTTCACTGTCGGTGTGTACCGGAGGAGTGCCTGCACATGTGTCTGCCTGCAGAGGTTTGCGCCAACAAACTTTATCTCTGCGTCCAGTTCAAGTGTCAGCTTCAGGGACCGTCTGCATTTTGCAGTTATGGTGGAAAGTGGAAGTGGAACCTAAAATTCACTTCCTGTCTGTCCTCCCTCATACTCACTGGATGCAACCAATTAAAGCTGCAGTTGGTTACTTTTATAAAAATAACTTCTAACTCACTTTAACCATATTCTGACCAGGGGTCGACCGATAATGGGCTGATAATTGGTAAAAGGTAAAAGGTAAATGGACCTGTACTTGTATAGCGCCCTTCTAGACTTCCGATCACTCAAAGTGCTTTTACACTACGTGCCACATTCACCCTTTCACACACATTCACTCAGTGATGGCCATCGAACAGAAACTAACTCATTCATTCACATTCACACACTGATGACGCAGCATCGGGAGCAGTTCGGGGTTCAGTATCTAGCTCAAGGATACCAACAACCAACCAACCATCCTCTCTCTCTTTCTCTCCCCGTTTCAGTTCTATTCAATAAAGAAAATATATATAAAAAAGAAACTAGCTGTCACTAATTCTAACAGTAATACATGAAAGAGATCATCCTGCAGGCCCGGTGGATTCTTGTCAATGCCATTAGGAGCCCTGGGAGAAACCAGAGGAACCTGACCTGAACCCAACCTGTCTCACGTACTGCCAGGACGTAGTGAAAGTTTCAGCAAATAATACAAGTTATTTTTATTAAAAGTATCTACTGCAGCTTTAAATGAGGACACTTAAAGGTCCAGTGTGTAACATTTAGGAAGATCTGTCTGCAGAAATATATAAAAAACATAATATTCATTGTATGTTTTCATTAGTGTATAATCTCCTGAATACATTAATCTCGTTATCGGTATCTTACACTGAGCAGTTTTTATCTACAGCAGGCGCGGGTCCTCTTCTACAGAGTCAGCTGACATTCATATAACTGACTTACTGACATATTTGTTGAGCTGAATTTTTTGGATTTTGAGCAGATTATTTCCTGTTTAGGAAATATTTTATACAATTCTCTGTCTGTATTTGGTATTTTTTTTATAATTTCTTAACAATCACAAGACTTCTTTTTTGACAAATTTAGTGTTTTCTCTGACACTTGTCATTGTTCTATTAGTCAATTTACTCTTCTCTTACAGAGGTGAACCAAATGCTGAGATATCGGCCTACTGTGTATATTTGTAAAGTTTTCTTACACATATTAAAATCAAGAAGGCCTTGCGACCCCCCATAAAGTTTTGGCGACCCCTAGTTGGGGCCCGCCCCCCATGTTGGGAACCAGTGTCCTATACAATTACAAGGCTGAGCTGTATGGTTACAATCTGCAACTTCACCACTACACGAGATGCCACACAATCAATCAATCAACAATCCTACACACTCCTTTAAATTAAAAAGGGTATGAAAGAGAAACAAAGTTTATTCAGGTCTTTTGTGTTGTACTGGTGGCCTATTTCTATTTTGATAACTATTTGCAAAGGAACTGCGTAAGGAATATTGTCTCTTTGTCATGTCTTCATTATTAATAATTAATATTAATTATTAATAATGTATATATATATATATATATATATATAAATTCTTTAAATACAGGATACACTGTAAAACTGTTTACATACTGTCAATATGCAGTCATTTATTTATGTATATTTACAAGAACACAGTAATGAACTGCACTGTTATTTCTAGCAATACGCTGTAATTCTAAGATACAGTAAGACACTGTCAATGGAAGCTGCTGCCAGTTAATTACTGTAAACCTACAGGGAAAAGTCAACGTGACAAACTAAACAGGGTCGGTGAGCGTTGTTCAAGTGGTACATCATTTGAGTCGTGGCCGTGTTGTACTTATACACAGCTTCGCAGTGTTGGCAGTGAACTAAGTCATTGTTTAAATCAAAATGGTCCCACACCACACTTCGCCGTGACCTCGTCCTCTTCATGATTACTTTTGAAACACGGAAACTCGCAGGTACCTGAGTAGGCCTGTGGCGTTTTTTTTTTTTCAAATATTGCCCCCGTGTGGTAAAATGTTTAATTGCTGCCACATAGCGAAATTCATTGCATTCCTCAAGACTCACACTACGCAACAGAACCTGCCTTAGTTTTATCGATGAAAAATTAACGTCATCGACGAAATTCTTCATGATCAGTTAATTGATCGTCGATTAATCATGCCCATCCCTACTCCATACTAAATGCTAAATACAGTTTGAATGGCCAGGATCATTTATAGCCTATTTTATAGTTATTAACAACATTTTACACACATTTTGTAGGGCAGTTGAAGTTGCACTGTACTGTGATGTTGTTCCCTTTTTCGCTGTAAAGACAAAATAATGGCAGCATTCCCAGTGAAATCATTTTCTTCACTAGACGCCATGATAATAATATGATAATAATATAAGAAGAATTGACAGCTGTTGGATCAACTATGGTTTCAGGGTCATAATGACACTGTAATCTGATTACAACCTTTTCATGTAATGTAAGAGATTGCAGTTTGTATCTTTATTATGTAACTGTGTTATATGTAATGCTGCTGTTATCTTGGCCAGAGCACGCCTGTGAAAGAGACTTTTAATCTAAGCAAGGCACTCGGCTGAACTGAATTATTGTTGTATTATAAAAATATGTTACCATTCAAAAGTTATTCGCAGGGACATTAGAAGTGATTTCTTACTGACATGAGTGAAACTGAGGACTAGCACACACTAAAAGTCCCAAACAAGCAGCATGTGTCTTTTCCCCATCAGCGGATTCATTCTGAGATGATTGTGTTCAATGCCACAGTCAGTCCCTGGGTATAACAGCAGCGCTCTGACACAGTCTGTCCTCTGCTCTGTGGCAACAGAATGGAAGAATTTTGTTCTGTGTTAAAGCCTCCAGCATCCTTCATACAGCAGTGTGCGAATTGGTCAGCATTAACTTTGTTAGCACTTTGGTTTTAAGGTGTCACCTCGACAGTAATTGTGCCCCGGAGATTATAATTGCATGGCTTTACCTTCGTATAGAGAGGGACAGCAGCTTCCCTGACTCCAGTGCAGTCTTGGCTCGTGTTACAGGATGGAGGTGTGTGAGGTCTTGTTCACTGGGTTAGTATTACTTGCAGGTACTGAATACTGTAGACGTACAGAAGGCTTTACACTGCAGTGACATTAACACTGAACAGGGTGCAGCGTGGCCTTCCTGCTCAGATAAACATCAGAGAGGGACGATTCCGGCACACCTGCACACATTCAACAATGCTCCCTTCCCGTTAGGTGGTGGCTGTCGACATTTGAAGTTTTTATGTCTGAACTGAGATACATTTGGAATATTTAAAAGGTGTGAAGAAAATAATCAGATTAGAGAAAAGTCAGAAAAAATAAACCTAGCACAGAAATGTTATTTTCTCCTTTCCTATCGCATTAATCCCCTGTGACCCCATAGAAGGGTCTTAACACACACGTTAGAAGAAGCAGCATGCATCATGTTTTTAACACATGATGTAAAGCAGCCAGGGATGGATGTAGAGAAATATTCGTGGGGTGGTTTGAGGGGCAATTATCTGAAAATATTTCCATTACTAACATCATATCAAAAAGCCAAACAGCAGTGTTTATGCATTTTATATCTTCTTATCAACCGTTTGCACATATTTGCCCCTACCTTTGACCTTTGCTGTCATTTTGTACCAAATAAATATTTTTTTTTAAATAGAATGTGTTGGGGATTTAATGGCAAACAATCACATGTATCAATATTTGCTTGTTAAAGCCCCAAATATAAAGATATTTCACTCAAAAAATGTATTATTTTTTTAATTAATTTAAATAGATTTTTTAAATTTGTCACCAAACTGGGCATGAAATATGCTACACATGCCTTTTAAAATCTGACCTCAATTTGTATTCATTCTTCATCACATGTAGCTCTGATTCAAAATCAGTGTCCATCTGACTTGGTGAGTACAGCAGTCGGATCTTCAGCGGGTGTGCATGCAGGCTCACAGATTCACATCTTTTGAATAAATTCACATCACACAAATTCTTTATTTGTCATTTATTTATTTGTTTTATCTTTTTTGTCTGTACTAGATTATTGCAATCTGGTTAATTCACATTTAAAAAGCAGTCATTGACCAGACGCACTGAAATCGATGATATTCATTTTTACAATAACCATTATAGGCCCCATAGAGACTGGAAAACCCAATCCAAAACAAAAGAAACATCTGTATGGTTTTTCTGCACTTTATTTTGTTTGATGTCTTTTTTTAATAGTAATTACAAAAAGGAAAAAATATATAACAATAATCATAAAAAGGAGAGTTGGGGGAAAAAACTCAGGAATATTACGACTGGCAAACAAACAACCACAACACAGCACAAGTACCTACGGCGAGAAATGAAAGGTACAAAAATGAAAACGAAGAAAATAAGCGCATATGGCAGAAAGAAAAATCAAAGAAATTGGCACCTATGAAGTTCAATACAATAAGCAACTGAGGGGACGAGAAAGTGAAGCTTTTTCCTACAATCTATTAAAAAAATCCCAAAACAAAGGGTGTTCTTGCTTTTTTTTCTTTTCTATTTGTTAAAAAAAATAAAATGCCTGACCTGGGGAGCAATGGGTGGGAGGAGAGGGAAGGAGAAAGGGAGGGAAGAAGCTGGTGGGGGGGGGGGAGACAATAAAAAATACTGCACGTACAATACCTTTTTTCACTTCTCTCTTTCCTTCATCTAGCTCTTACCGTTTCTCTCACCCACTTTTTCCTTTCTTTATTTAATAGCATATCCCATTAATATTCCTTTCCCCCGCTGCTCCTAATAGCCGCGCCCAGTGGCGCGATCGTTAGAGTTTTACATGTGAGTAGCAAATGACACTTTGATTGGCTGTGATGTGGAGATGGGAGTCCCCTGCCGGCTCCGGGTCGGGGGCCCCGGCTGAGCCGAGAGATCCTGCCGGGCCTCGGTCTCACTGCGCGTGCTGACTCAGTGTGTGGTTCTGGAGGGAGAGAGGGAGAGGGAGAGATAGAGAGAAAAAGTGAGAACACATGATGAGAGAAATAATGGGCTACGTGAGCATGGTGCTTTCCACTTGCACCCCCACCCAATAAAAGAACAGAAGAGAACAGAAACACAACTGCCTCCCACAGTACAGACAGCAAGGCCTCCTCGCTTTCTACACAGTCTGATGAAAGAGGAGAAAGAACAAGAAAAAGGAAGAAAAGAAGACAAAACAACTCTACAATATAAACCAGGAGTACAGAGGGATTGTTGCTCACACTAAAGATACTGAAAGATATAGAAGATAAATATTGTATATATCTTAAATCCCTGCATGTGAACACAGAGGAACTGCTTATGTGAGACACTGTCAGTGGGCTGTTCTCTGAGACACATCTAGTTTTGCACATTTTCGCACACCTCAAACACCCCCAAAAACTATCCAATAGAAGCAGACCGTTTTGGTCAGAACCAAATAATGACATACATCATCATACATCATATAGTATTTGTTCTGTTTTTGTTTTATTTCCTATCTGTGGGAACCCGGCGCCTCGATTTGTTTATTCAGATCTGTGAAACCCTCGTGTCCTTTGATATTGTGATTAATATTTTACAGAGACCGTCTCCGTACCTCGGAGACGCCTACACTCACATCTCTCCAAAGGCATCAGCGCGCTACACATCAATACATAATCACAAAGCAAAAAAACACCTTTTTCAAAATTAAAATTCACTGCAGCAGCGGGAGCACAAAGGAGAGCACCGCGGCCATCTCCAGGTAAAAACCAGAGTGCAGGAACCGAGGTTCAGAGACGGATTTGTATGCGGAAATGGCGTAAAGGTAGGAACAGACGAAAACGGACAGTATACTCTGCGCACACACACACACACAATAATATGTTAAACTTTCTTACTGAAGATAAATACACACAGAAATACATGTTAACAGTCCTGTGCAGACTTGTGGAGTGTCGGGAATGTTATACACAAAAATGTGCAAAAGCATGCACGTTTCACAAACACACACACGCACAAGTGCACACAC